GAAGGAAGGAAGGAAGGAAGGAAGGAAGGAAGGAAGGAAGGAAGGAAGGACGGACAAGTATAGTTATGGGGACACTAGTTACTGTTAATGTCACAAGGGTAGCCAGTAAGTGTTTTCCATCTTTGTCTGAGGTTAGAGAAAGAAGCATATATGATATTAACTGCAGTGATGGCATTTTCAACAGTCCTGCTACCCTTGAAATGCTTTATCTCTTTTCACCTGAAGGAAAACAACATTGTGGTGGATGAAAGGTCTGTGAGGCTTAGACATGCCTCCTACAACTCTATGTTCACCATAGATCATTCTACAAGCACTCACCACGATCAACTATGAATCTCAGCTTCTGAATAATGGCCAGGTTCCCATTGACCCTGTAGATTCCATCTGCGTCCAGCCCTGAAAGAGAAAGGCAAAACTGCTGTGAATCCCCCACTCACTGTAAATCTAGGGAGCGCCAGAACTACAGTAAGGGAAGGATCCCAGCTGAGGCTAAATTTTGCAGAGGTGGAATAGTGGCCCGCACCACAGATTCCCTACCTCTCTGTTCCACAGCTTCCACACATTGCTGGACAAACCGGGGTACTGTACCCCCTTCTCGCTGGCACAGGGCTTCTAGCCGACAGCCAAAGACCTGATCTGGGAACAAAAATGGAAGTGGTGAAGCAACTTGAGATATTTGGTTCCAGGGAATTACAATTACACCTCCGCCAAGAGATAAATATGGACGAGCAATTTGCCCCATCCTAATCCTATTTTTATGGAATCTAGAACACCACAAGATCACAGTGCTAAACTTCAGCAGCAAATCAGATTTTTGACCGTATATATACATACATATGCATGGACTAAAGTCAGCTTGTTAAACTTTTCCTGTGCTTAATCTACCTATTTTGCTTTAAACTCCATCCCCCAAATAAAAATAAAAATTGTAAGAAAACTGCTATGCCATTTGCGGCTCTCAGCCACAACAATATCATAGCTCCTCAGAGTTTTAAAACTCAGATTTGTGAGTTTTAGCAATAGTGATTTGAATCAGGAACACCAGAAACAAGAAAAAACTGACTACATTTCCCTTGAGATCCAGATAGCTCCACCCTGCTGGTGTTTCAAAGGGCCTTGAAGACCCGGCTCTTCCCCAGGCCTTTGGTGAGGGTGAGTGAACACCCCTCGGACTGTTTGGGTTCATTTCTCTTTCATTCCTGTCCATTTCTTGTCATCCTTGCCATCTTTTATTCTTTTATTTTTGTCTCTTATTGTATTCTCTGAGCTGCCCAGAGTCATTAGGAGTTGGGCGGCATACAAATTAATTAAATAAATAAATATCTAACTATAAGGCCAATTCTTCCCCACAACAACCTGTGAGGTAGGCTGGGCTGAAAAAGAATTTCTATGACTCAAGATGGATCAGAACCTGGTTTTCTTCATTCCTGGAGCAACACCTTCACCATCAAACCACATTAACTTTCAAAATAAATGACTTAATGCATTAATGCTTTTGCTGTGCTAGATATAAGGGAGGTAGAAACAGTCTGGTGATAATTTTTAATTAAAAGTGACAAATATATTAGTTGTCACGGCACTATCCCTGTGTGTTTCAGAAAAATCACATTTTTCTGTCATTATTATAAGAATCCTAGTCAAAATTCCAGTAATTTGTCTCAACTTTTCCAAACTGGCACTTGAGGCATTATGACAATGCGCCAAAAACCCTGACAGGACACAAAAATGAGTATGTGGCAATGCCGACTTACTGTACCTCAGAAAATCCATCATCTCTACCCAACCTACGTTATGATAAAACTACAGGGCTCTGCACCATTACCTCGGATCAGTCCTTTCTCCTGTAAACTTCGCAGGGGTGGCCGCTTGGCAATGAAGCGTCTCAGCTTGCTCTTGACCCTTTTCTTGTAGACCCTGCCAGGACTACCAGGGGCTACGGGAGGAAGGGACAGAAACCGAGAGAAGGAGCTAAGGCAGCTGCAATTCCCTCATTCACACATATGTCAAAATAGCCCTACTTTGGACAACGTCTAGCACCGTCCCCCCCAGAACTGCTGGTCTCAGACCTGCCGGCACTTCACCCTTGGAGAGCCCAAGTTCTTCTTCCTCATCCCCACTGAGATCCACAAGTTCAGCACTGTTTGACCGACTGAGTGGGTATAGAAGCGGCTCATCCAGAGGATTCTCTTGATCCTGCAGTGGAGCAAGGAAGGAGCTTAATCCAGAGAAATTAGCAGGGAGACAGGATGAGGCAAAACGGGCAAATGCACTGTCGTGAACTACAAAAGGTTCTGTTTCAATGACATAAAATTTGGGGTGGGTTTCGTAATGACTTGCCACTGTGATAAACCCGACAGAAGCAAGAGAGAGAAGCCCTTTGGGGTCATTTGGTGATACACATGAAGGACTGAATAAAGGATAGACCATGCAGAGTCCTCTTTGCGATAAGCTGGAAGTCTTAAGGAAGAAGTAATGCTTCACCTTCAACTTTAGTACCGCTTTCTCTGCATTCCAGAAGGCTAATACAGCAGAGTCCCACACTGCCCAGAGTTGTATTACATCCAAGCCAATGTGAGTCCGCCTCTAATCAGACCTCCAGCTAAACATGGAAGTGGGGGGAGAGAAGGGGCTGCAGTCAGCACTGACCACCATTCTCCACTCATTTTGCACCCTCAACAAAATCAGTTGAGTACCTTAACAAGACCAGAGAGAAGGGGAAAGAGAGTGAGTGGGACGTTAGTGACTGACTGACTGACTGACTGACTGACTGACTGACTGACTGACTGAGACAGAGAATGAAGAATGGATTGTTGCACATACAGATTTAGGGGAATGAGGGAGAAATGCAGAGTGGAATGCTTCTGGCTCCACTTAGGTTGGACCTTGCTCATTGCAAAGATGTGGCCCTCATTACAAAGATTTTGCTTTCTGGGGTAATAGCTTCCCACTGCAGACACAGTGAGTTCAGCTGTGTTCTAAACCTTGAAAAAAAACAACTTCTGCCTTCCTTGAGAGCTCTCCTAAATTTTATAGAGCAAGGGTTGGCAACCCAGCACTCTACAGATTTGGGGGACTTCAATGCCCATCAACCCCAATTATAGCACAGACAATTGCAAGGCATGATGGGAGTTTCCAAGCCAGTTTGGTGTAATGGTTAAGGCACAAAGCTAGAAACTGGGAGACCATGAGTTCTAGTCCTGCCTGAGGCACAAAGCCAGCTGGGTGACCTTGGGCCAGTCACTATATCTCAGCCCTAGGAAGGAGGCAAGGGCAAACCACTCCCCAAAACCTTGCCAAGAAAACTGCACGGATTTGTCCAGGCACACGCCAGGAGTCAACATTGACTCGAAGGCACCAAAAAAAAGGGGGGGGATTTTTGTCTAGAGGGCTCCAGGCTGCTTGCCATTTGGGCAACTTGGGCTGGACAGTCATCTCCAGCCTGGTCAGAATAAAAGAGTTCGGGAACACCTTCTTTCTACCAGCAATATTTCAAAGAAGAGAAGGGACTGAGGTAACTTAAAGTTCTTGGCATCTTCACTCACTAGCCTGTGGATGACCCCTTTGATCGCCTGGTACCAGTCCTGGCTGACAGCTTCATTATCTGATTGCAAGAGATACTCATTGCCAGTCACAGTGCGAAACTAAGAAGAAAAGGGGAGAGAGCAAATTGGGTTAGGCAACAATTCCATTTAACCTAATCTCATGTTCTTCTAATAGATTCTTGCCATGGAAGACTTTAGCAGGAATCCTAACTTAATTTTAAAAGATTATGTGAACAGCTTCATGTAATCACTTGTTCCCACTATGCTCCTCTACTTGTGGGAGCAGATAAAGAAACCAGGAAAGGATAGTTTAGTGTTACAACTGGACCTGAGATTATAGTGAAGTACACTCAGATAAACCAGAATATATTAACCAATTATCTCAATTTAAAACAGGACCACTGTGAGTCAATTCTAAGAATTGACAAACTTACAGTGGGACAAACAAGGTTTAGTTCTCAGTTGTGTGTGAACTCTGGCCCCAAATGTCTAAGTTCAAGATGGGATGGGGTTCCCACACTTACATGGATGACATTCCGCTTGCTGGACAAGTCCCGGGCCCACTCAATACGGGCCCCACGCAAATCCACACTGCTTTCAGGTCGGCTACCAGATGGTGTCTGCAGAAAAGGAGGATACGGGTTAGGAAGTTCCCTACACCCCATTGCCAAACCTGATCTGTGCTGGAAGTCACTGGAAAAGGACCAGGGAGAGGGATACTAGTCCATGCTTCCTTCCTTATTCATTTATCACAGCAATAGAGACTTTTGTGTTGATGGATGGGTGGATGGGTGGATGAGTGAGAGGGAATAGAGAAAAACACACATACATACAGTATACATGGACACACACCGTCTCTGAACGATACTGGGGGTGGGCAGGTCTAAAGTCTGTACCAGATCCCCAAATGGGCAAGATCACCCCTTTTATTCAAAAGTCTCTCCCTCTTCCTCCCAGCCAGCAGTCTCTCAAAGGGGGTATGTATGACTTTTCTGGAGACTGAATTGACTTCTTCTGGAAAGCTTTTAAAATTAGTTTGAGAGTTATACAAAGTTAGGCTGCCGCCCATACGAGACCTTATGTTGCCTTTCCTGATTTGCCACTTAAGCGTCTGCCTGCTGCTGCACTCACCCATGCAGCTGTCACCTTGGGGTCCTTGTAGAACATGAGGCTGTTCCCAGCTAATACCAGCCATGACGATGCCCAGCACTTTCTGGGGGTAGAGGAAATGAGAGAAGCTGGAGTGCAGCCTGCCAAAGCCATAAACCCAACATACAACCTCTCCCAGGCTTCCAAGTATAAAAGTGTCAAAAAGTGCTTGAAGAGTCCAAATCAATGCTCCCACATGCAGCCATGTGGCACTGAAAGGATTTGTTGGTGCCTGGAATAAGCTCTGCAATGTAATAAATTACCGTGTCTCAACATGCCAGTGATGAAGCATTGGAGGAGACACCAAGGAAGAGCAATCTTGGTGATGCTTTCTGGTCTCAAAAATGAGAACATTTCCTCTATTTTCAGATCACAAATGAGAAATGCCACTCTGCCCCTTTCCTCCTGAACAACAGTTAATGAAATAATAGACTGGTGGTGACAAAATACTGTGAATTGGGGTTAGGAGACATCCTGTTGACTTTCTTCCTTCAAGGCCTTTGTATATGATCCTAAAATCTTCTTTTGAGAGGAGAATTCCCTGAGTTCAAGCTTATTCTGAAACTTGCCTTCATAAGCACAGAGCTGAGTTTTGGACCTGTGTTGAAGTTTGGCTCGTGTCTGTACATACAGCCATCATCTGATGTACAGGTGGGTCTGTATCTTCTTTGGGCTACTCTGCTATGTCCCATTTCCCTGGATTGGCTTCCTCTCCCTTACAAAAAGGCTAATCTCTGCCTTATTTTGCCCCTCTTCTGATTTGGGCCATTAACCGAGAAGGTCCATTATTCACTAAGGGCCCTTTCCAGCCTCTTTGTCTATTCAGGCCAGGACATTGCTTGTCAAAATCCCCTCAGCTGTGAAATGCTCCTCAGCCAGAGCTGGAGAGGTAGCCAAGTGAGGACTCAGAAGCACGAATGCCCTGGATTCCTCCTAAATGGACAGTGAGTAAACATCCCCCCTCAAGCCCCTTCCTGCTAGGGAGACTTCAACTGGGTACCTGAGTTTCCGACCTCCTTCAGCGATCTTAGTTTTGTTCAGCTGTCCAGATTTCTCCACCATCTGCAGAAAGAAGCAATATCAACAAACCTGCAGTCCTGGGTGTGTCCTGTGATCCTTCCTGAAATCCATACCACTCCCCATACCCCCAGTTCCTGGCAGATCTTTATTTCCCACAAACTCTGGCCCCAGGCAGTGCTCCACTGCTAACTCTCCTACTGGAACAGTCAAGTGGGGAACTTCCTAATGTTGCTGAGCTGCAACCCACAGTAGCCCAAGCAACACAGCCAATGGTGAGGAATAGTGGAAGTGTAGTTCGATAACACCTGGAGGACCATAAGGTTCCCAAACCCAGTGTGCAAGAAACAAACAATTTGGGGCAGTGAGATATCAGTTTTTAGAGAAGATAGAGAAGAAACATGTCAACACTCTACAGCCTAATGCCTCTGTTCCTTGTTTCCCTTTTACTTATTTCACCCTCCAGATCCAGCCACACTCCCTTCACCATCTCCTTTGCCCCTCGGTCTCCAGGTCTCATTTTTCTTCCTGGGCAACATTCCCAACCTCAGCTGAGACAGATGAAGGAGGAAGGGAGCAGGATGGACCCACTCCAAAACTGAGAGGATGGCCTTCTCTGGCATGGCACAGCTGGGCTCTGGGGCTATGCGAGAGAAAACATCTTTTGTCACATCCTTTCAGATAATGGTGATTGGAGGGTGCTACTAGGGGATGGGAAGGGGGATATGCATACACCATTCACCCCAGGAACTTGAGATGGTAGTACAGATATCTTCACAAATACCCCATGAGGTAGACTAAGTTGACTGGATTCAGCTATAACCCAGGATGTTTATCGAATGACAAGAGTCCCTGCTCCTAGTCAAATTGAGCCTAACCACTCCTCCATAGTTGTAACATACATGCAGCAATTCAGCATTGTCTGAGGGGGAACCATTGGTAGGTGATGGTGCAGAGTATTCTCCTAACCAGGCCTCACAGCTATATTGGGAATGGTTCCGCCGATGGTTTCCCTGTATGGAGAAAAAAGAAAGCAGATTTACCAACCACTTTGTGTATCCCTTCCCTTCCCATCCTGCTGCCAGTGGGCACAGCCAGGGCTGAACCTTAGGCCAAAATCCAAGTCCTAAATGATTACCCGGACTGAGTAGCAGATAGTGGGGTAGCTAATAAACAACACCTCAACATCTTCTCTTTTCTTCTGTTTGAAAACTCTTTATAAAGGGGGAAGCAGCCAAGTGGAATGTGTGTGATTACAAAACTGGTTTTGCTGATGTAATGGGAGGAAGGAATAACCTTGAGGAACAGGAGGAAGAGCCACAACCAAGACAGTCAGATTAAAAAAAACTGAGTCCAGGGCAGAAGGATAATTTGAGAAAGTTTCTCAGACAGGACCCTTCTTAGTTCTCACAAAGAGGAGGGAGGGAGGGGATAAGCACATTTAGTCTTTGTTACTGTAACCTTATAATAAAAGTAGTATTAGCATTCATAACTTTGGTTTTCTAGTCTGGCCTACCTAGAAGGGCTGATAGTTCTTTTCTTTTCTTTTCTTTTCTTTTCTTTTCTTTTCTTTTCTTTTCTTTCTTTCTTT